AACTACTCCTAAAAATGCCCAGATTATGGGTCTTGTGGGAATTTGAATATATTCTTCAACTTCTCCATTGTATACCTTTTATAGTCACTACCTTCAACGATTCTGACTCCATCGACAATTATCTGACTGGTAACTCCCAGTAACTATTTCTCCTTTTAAAACAAGGTTGTAGCTAATCATTTCTTGTCTTTCTTCAAATTTTGTCATGTGGCCTTCTCTGGATGCCTTCAAACTTTTCAGATGCCAATGCATCGAGCATTCCTATAATTTTATATTTTTGGTCCAAACACCTACATAACCTGCCCGTTGATGTAATTGTTAGATAATAGTAAGAGTTACCATTCGACGTGTTTCACCGACATGTCATGCCTGCACTTTGACCGTGGCTTTTTCCCTATGATAGCCCTTAGTTATTTGAAATTGTATGGGTTTAGATGAAGCTTGCAATTAGAATCAGCTTGACGTTCATTATGCCTCCAAACGTTGGAAATAAAAGCCACCAAGCCATTCAATATTATCTTTTTGGTTTTGAGAAAAAGTTTCATCCAATGTGTCTTTAAACTTTAAAAACAAGGGTTAATTACACTAGAAGTCCCCAAAGTATAGAGTTTGTATCATTTGAGTCCCCAATATTTTAATTGCATTATTTTGATCCCTAAAGTATTGAATATGTTTCTATGTAGTCCCTCAAATAGACAACATCTAAATTACTAATGATTTTTTATCATAAACTTTGTCACGTAATATCTAAATATGAACAATAAATAATTTGGGTAGATCTTGACCAAAATTAGGGTAGCTCTTGACAAAAAATGTATAATATGGGTAGCTATTGACCAAAATTTGAATAACTCATGAGCAAAACTGTATAGTTTAGGTAACACTTTGACCAAAATATAGGTAAAAATTTGGTCAAGAGTTATCCAAATTATTTTTTTGCCTACATTTAAGTATTATGTGACGAATTTATAATAAAAAAATTGTTAGCAATCTGGACACTATCTGCTTGAGAGACCACATAGAAATACATTGAATACTTTATGGACTAAAATAATACAATTGAAATATTAGAGACCAAAATAAGACTAATCTCATACTTTGAGAACCTACAATGCAATTAACCCTAAAAAATATTTCTTTATGATGTGACTCAAAATTAGGGGAATTTCTTTGGCGGTCAGCCCTTATAAGGATGTTCAATTATGGTATAAGGATATATTTCATTTCCTTGCATAATACGATAGGTGGCATAGCATTAGTTCATTTAGCTTTCAAAAATTGAATTTCTTCATTAGTTAATCATAATGAATTTAATTGATTTAGTAAAAATTAATACTTGATTATAATAGTTGATGATGCACAAAAGTGGATTTATACATCACTTGTCGAATAATTAATGTAGGTAATAAATGCATTAAACATAAGGTGAGATCAATACAGTTAACACACATATGTATAGTGGTTAGATCAGGGTAACCTACTCCACTTTAAAGACTGTAGCGGTGACGAGTAGTCTTTATTGATGAAGTAGTAGGTGAGAGAGAGTAAGAGTATGCTCTTGGTAGTTATGAGAGAAATAGTTGTATAAGGTGTGTAGAGAGATGCCCCTCTCATGTGGCAAGAGCTTACAATTTATAGGCACAGAACATTGGTTGAGACGGTGGCATGAAGGGATAGATGACTAGCTTTTCAGGGAGGATAATTACAACTAGGATAAGTACAAGTAGAGATAGTCTTGATCGTGGAGAGTGGCTATCCTGATGATTACTCCTCACGTGTACTAATCTTCTTAAACTCCTTGAACTTTGGTTTGGGTCGAATCCATGAACTGGACTTAACTTGCCTTGTAGTTGATTTGGACTTAATTAATTGGACTTGACTAGGCTCATCATTTGCCGGATTGGGGGTTGAAGGCATGAGTGAGCCCCTACCTTTGGGTAGAACATATATCTTGTTCCATATAATGGCTTCTTCAGCTTTCCACTCCATTGCATTTTTGAAGCTTATTTCTCTGTTTGGTAACACCATTGTTGGAAAGAGGATGAAGAGAAGCATGAACGCTTCAGTGCACGGAGATGGAGATGCTTTGGTGAGTGATGTCATGGATATGAACCTGTGTAACACCAAGGAAGGCACAAGTCGGGCAGTGCTACGTGCGATACCATGGAGGACCCAGACAAATTGATGATGTCTTTGGTTTATGAAAATTCTCTCTTTCACAGGTGACCTCGTGGTTGATGGATCGATGACAAAGACTCTCAATGTCACTAGGGTGGTGACTTCCTCTCCTCCTAGAAAGGGTGAGATTTGATGCCCCTAATGCTACCCAACTAAGGTCTGACAGTCATGCTGTTTCTTGAAAGACGAGGTTTGATATCTCTAGAGTTTCACATAATTATCCAGCTTCAAGCAGTGGCCTAGTGTCTATGCTGCAGGATGTGAATTTTGGCTAAGGAGAGGCTTTGGAGGTTTATGACACCTTTGGATATTAGATAGGTTAGCTCTCGGGATCTTGAGGGTATCATCGATACCACGATAGAGGGCTTTGCTATGGTACCCTTCTGTTATGTGGAACCCTGTCTTCTGTATGCTTGGTCATACTGATAATTTGACTTTCAAATATTCGCAGATGGTTGTGGCTTTTCTGTACTTTTGAGGACACTCAAACTAAACGAGGTGTCGAGAGCTTTAGTGAAAGAGAGACCTGGGTATCAGGCTGCAATTGAGGTTGGCTCATGAGAGAACAACAGCCCTCAAGGCCTAGCTTCTAGAGAATGAGGCTATTTGTGTGTAAGTACAAGCTGAGTTTAGCCGAGCTTATAGGAGATCAATTGCTTCAGAGCAGATATATGATTAGGCCAAGCTTTTGGTGACTCGGGAAAGAGCCTCTAAGTTGGGACTGAAGTGAGAGTGAGAGTAAAGGCAGAATGAGGCCAAGCATTTGGCGACTTCCGTGAGAGCCGCTAAGTCGGAGACATAAGTTGTCTGCATGAGAGTAGAGGCAGAATAAAGCCAAGCTTTTGAAGACTCTCGTGAGAGTCGCTGAGCTAGAGACATAGGCTGCCTGCGTGAACGTAGAGGCAGAGTTAGGCCGAGCTTGTGACAACCAGTGAGAGAGACGCTAAGTTAGAGATTGAGGTTGCTTGTATGAGAGTAGAGACAGAGTGAGTCCAAGCTTTTGACAACTCTCATGATAGCCGCTAAGCTAGAGAGATAGGTTGCCTGTGCGAGAGTAGAGGTAGAATAAGATCAAGCTTTTAGCGACTCTCGTGAGAGCCGCTAAGCTAGAGACATACGTTACCTGCGTGAGAGTAGATGCAGAGTTAGGCTGAGCATGTGGCGACTCGTGAGAGAGACACTAAGCTGGAGATTGAGGCTGCTTGCGTGAGAGCAGAGACAGAATGAGGCCATGCTTTTGGCAACTCTCATGAGAGCTGCTAAGTTAGAGACATAGGCTGCTTGCATGAGAGCAGAGACAGAGTTAGGCCAAGCTTGTGGCAACTTGTGAGAAAGGTGCTAAGCGTGCATGAGAGTATAGGTAGAATGAGGCCAAGCTTTTGGAGACTCTTATGAGAGCCGCTAAGTTGGAGATATAGGTTGCCCGAATGAGAGCAGAGGCAGAATAAGGCCAAACTTTTGGCAACTCTTGTAAGAGTCGCTAAGCTGGAGACATAAGCTGCCTACATGAGAGCAGAGGTAGAATAAGACCAAGCTTTTGGCAACTCGGGAGAGAGTGCGAAGTTGGAGATTTACGATGCTTGTGTGAAAGTATTGCTGGGCGCCGTTGGGCATGGACGCTGGGGAGCTAGGCACCGCTAGGCACGGACGTTTGGGGGCGCAGGGCGCCTCTGGGCATAGACGTCTAGGGGTGTTGGGGGCCGTTGGGCACAGACGTCGAGGGGCACAGATGCCAAGGGGCACTAGGCATAGATGCCAAGGGGCGTTGGGCGCTGTTGGCGATGAGATGCTAGGTGGAGTATTCGACAATAATAAAGAAACGACAAAACCGCTAACGACCAAAACGTTGCGCTTAGTTGTCTGTTTGAGGCGATTTTTTTTTTGAATTTGAGTTTTTTTTCGAGATCTAAGAGATACAAATTTCTCTAAAAAGTTCTTCTTTCTCACAGAATTTGAGTTTTTAACCCCATATTATTGAAAAAATAGATTTTGCATGCGTCTACTTTTCGCTTGTGGTGGCGGGACCTCGTCATTATATGGCAGGTCATCTTCTGCTTGATGGTTCATGAATCTGATTGTTCTTGCCATTGGACTCAATCAACGTTCACACGACGCCAAACTGATGATACACAAAAGTGGATTCATGCACTACCTGTCGAGTAATTATTGTAGGTAATAAATGTAGTAAACATAAGGTGAGATCAATACAGTCAACACACATATGTATAGTGGTTCGGTCAGGGTATTCTACTCCACTTTGAAGACGACAACGGTGGCCGGTGGTCATTATTGATGAAGTAGTATGTGAGAGAGAGCAAGTGTATGTTCTTGGTAGCTACGAGAGAAATAGTTGTGTAAGGTGTGTAAAGAGAAGTCCATTCCATGTGGAGAGAGCTTAAAATTTATAGGCACAGAGTCTTGGTTGTGGCAGTGGCGTGAAGGGATAGGTGACTAACTTTTTCGGGGAGGATAGCTACAACTAGGATAAGTATAAGTAGAGATAATCTGGATTTGGGAGAGTGACTATCTCGATGATTACCCCCCATGTGCACTAATCTTCTTGGACTTCTTGAACTTTGGTCTGGGCCGAATCCATGAATTGGGCTTAACCTGCCTTGTAGCTAATTTGGACTTAATTAATTGGGTCTGACCTAGTTGAATTTGGGCTCATCAAAGAAACACAAAATCAAGACCTAATACTAGAAATCAATGTATGAATTTCTGCTAAGTGTATTACAATAATTTCAACACAAAATCAAGTAAAATAGGGACAAAAAATCTGCTACAGCACCACACCAATTCCACCCAAAAAACACCTCTATATGTTATCAAAAATGATTACAATATCAAGCAATACAAAGGGAAAAGCTATTCTGATATTTCCAGCAAGAAAAACACAAAGTAAGCTATCAAAAAAACTTACAAACAGAGCTTCTGCTCCGTAGACACTTATTGTATTTCGGACAACAACTCCCTATTTTTCCCCTCTGATTTTTCTACCAAAACCTCTCTTTTTCTTTATTTTTCTGGACAGAATTCTCTCTATTTTGGGCAGCATTTCTTTGCCTTTTATACTCTTTTTTTCATGCTGTAAGCCGACTTCACTGAGCAGCATTCGTTGGTTCCTTCCAACACCAGAAATCGGTTTGCTTGTTGCCCTGCACCAGCAAACTTCCTCTTGACTTTGGACTCTTCTAATGGCTACCCCTTTAACTTTTCTAAAGCCAACAATCTTAAACCGACTAACGTGTTGCCCCTTTAAATGCACAAAAGACGATAAGAATGCTTAAATATCAACTAACAACATAACTTTTTAATATTACAACATAAGCCCACAAGGAAAATTCCAAAACTACCCATTAAAGAAATGGGTTTATAAAACTACCAACACATAGGTTGAGATTGTTGAGGAGTCATATTTGTAGAGGGAACTTTTTTGATTTATTTTAAAAAATAATGAGTGCACATTGATTGACAAGTTTTTGTGTTATAGAATGCCTTCGGTACACACATTAATTTGTGATTTTTTATTTGTTACGTAATACTTACAGATTTGAACAATTATTAGTATATATATTATATTAAGTGGGTATCAACCAACTTGTTTTGTGACTTCTCTAACTACTCGCAGTGGGAATCAAGACTTACCTTCTTCATTAGGATTGGTAATTTCTAATTCAATCGAATGCAATTCTTGAAATTGCTCTGGAATCTCTAAAGGACTTGTGCATGCCCTACCCGAAGAGCTGCTTTCAGAAACCTTTAAAGCTTGAACAGTATTGTTTGGAGTTGTACCTGGAAGTTTTATCTCCCTGATACGAAGATTTTTTACTGACCTGACCAACTTTTTCAACATGTTCTTATAATTCCAAGTTAAAACCCCATCGTATGCCTCGGGTTGGCGTCCATACAACTTGTGAGTTGCAAATACAAGATAACAGGTGGTGGAAGTGAGGGCTGAGAAGAGGTAGAGACCCCAAAAACTCCGCCAGTTCAAGCTATCAACCTCGTCGGGAGTTTGAGAGTTCAAGCACTTGGAAGGAGGAGTAAACCACTGAGTTTGCAATTGTTCTATCCTTCCATTCTCTAATAAAGTTAGAATAGCTTGGGAGAAATCAACAGCAATGGGAGATCCTTTTGGAAATACCTGCATGTGAGAGCTTTAGAAAAATAGCATCATCAAATGCATTCCAAAGAAGAAAACTTCAGGACCATACAACCCTATGAAACCTGATATCTATGATAAAAACCAGTTAAGAAGTTCAACCCTAACAAATACTCTCCATATGGGAGGTTCTTATCATTCTCTAGGGAAAAAAGGAAAGAAAAATAACTGAAGTGATTTACAGTTACAGAGAAAACACAAAGGCGATGAAATAGAGGAAGTAATGATCTCATTGATTATCCTCAGTTCCACCCACGTACAAGCTGCATCTAAAATATATATAGGAAAGTAGTGGAGAGCCAGTAGTATTCCTAATAGATTCTAACAAACTGCAATTGTAGCTGTTCAATTACAATTGATTAGTAAGTTAGTTTTAAATACAGCTTAATTTGTTTGATTAGGTACAAGTAGTTGGTTTAGTGTGATAGTTATCAATAGCTTCATGCAAAGTGAGTGAATTGAAGATAGAAAGTACAGTAATGTTACTTGGATTTTAGGTCAATTTGGTTACTTTCTTGTGTATGCGATGCAATGAGCCTAGACTTGGCCATTAAACTGTTTTGGGTTGCGATTTGCCCTGAAACGCTTGTCAGAATCGATTTCACAATTATACAAATTATACATAATTAATATTTATTTTATATTGACATCTTTTTTACTGTTAGAAATTATACATAATTATAAATCTATAAACCCAGCCAATTAATATTTCTATATAGTTGTGATAGAAGTTTCAAAATGAAGTGATTATAGGTAACAAATTGAGTTATGCAATTTTGGTGATTTGGGTCGCAAAAGCACGCCATTTGGGGCCGTTGCACCCATGTTTTGGGCTGCCTAAGGTTGTGTGAATTGTGGTAACTTTGACTTGGAGAATGGTGAACTTTCTAAAACACTAAAATTTAGTCTGAGTTTGACAAATATGTAAACCTTCCAATAATAATAAACTTGCAACCGTACTAATTGGTTTTCTAACGATAGCAATCCCCTAGACAACCTTAATTATTATTTTAGAGGAACAACTATTAAAAATTATGCATTGGATTTGATTAATTTGACAAAATATATAGTGTAAACAACTTCAATGACCAAAAAATAAATAATGAAAAATCGACTTCAACTAGCACAACAATGGGGCTTCCATGGACAAGGATTCTATTGTAGTCTAACTCCATAGTATTGATTGATGAACTTTAAAGGAATTCAGGAAATTGGGAAATGCAGGCCATCAAAGATGACTACAGGAGGATAGCCTCATAATTCCAAGCGTGTAAGCTTTTCAGTCACTGGATTGATACTAAGAAGATGTTGAAGAAGCTAAAGTCAAATTGGGAATTTTCTGTCCGTAAGGAACTAGTTAGAATCTTAACTAATGATCTCATGTTATGGGAGGATCTGTTTTATGTGTTTTTGTTTCATTTTAAATTCTATCCTTTAAGCTTCCTCAGACCTCCAAAGAAGGCAAACAAGCAAACAAATTCAAATGTGTAAAAAGTGCCAGTGACTACTCACAAAGCCGAAGCCTCCAAATTTGTGCTCAGCTCCTCCTCTGTGTTCGGCAAGAGTGTATCCCTTGCAGTTGTAATTCAAAAAAATCTGTGCATAAGGGAGGTCAAAAAATGCTGCACTGATGTTGCCGCTCTCAAATTCCCCTGGGTAGTCATATTCACTCCTAATTGTCTTGATGTTCCTAGGATCGAATTTAAGCACATTCTCCAAATACGATCTTATAAATGAATTTCTACCGCAACCAACTGTTGCATTGTTCTTCTTCAGCCAATCTATGTCTGTCACATTCGGTTGAAGGCGTTGGACAGTAAGCATCGAAGAAAGATTGGCAGTGTAGCTTGAGGATAAGGTCAACACAACAAAAAGCCACACCAAGACCAGTATTCGGGTGCAACTGTTATGAACCTTTTCCCCTGCAATATGAACAAGTATTATATGAGTTTTCCTTTTTATTTTCCTATTTTCTTCTGTGTGTGTGTGTGTGTGTTTGCTGATAAATCAAGACCCACACCACAAAGAGCCACACCAAGATCACTACACGGGTGTAACTATTATGAACCTTTTCCCCTGCAATATGAACATGTATTGTATGAGTTTTCCTTTTTATCTTTTTATTTTCCTATTTTCTTCTGTGTGTGTGTGTGTGTGTGTGTGCTTGCTGATAAATCAAGACCCACACCATAAAGTGCCAGTCCAAGATCACTACACGGGTGTAACTATTATGAACCTTTTTCTCTGCAATATGAACATGTATTGTATGAGTTTTCATTTTTATTTTCATGTTTTCTTCTCTCTATATGTGTGTGCACGCGCTTGCTGATAAATCAATGGGCGTAATATGTTTTCATATCCAAGCTGACATAAGCTCATCAGGATGTTATTCTCTATGATTATAAACGATTACACTTACTCTGTGCTGAGAATAGCGTGGAGGAAGTGAACCAAAGCACTGAGCCTAGTTGATTCTGCCATGGACCTTCAAATTCTGGATTTGATTGGCGTTCCAAAAGCCAAACTATGAACACAGTGTAGATCAAGATGGCACTAGTCACAGCCCACATTTCCTTGGTAAAAGGCTTCACGAAAATCCATGCCTGCCCTCGTTGGGGCTTCACTGATACTATCATTGCCAAGCTTGACTCAGCATATGGCTGCGTAAATTCCACATATTTTGATCGATTGGCCAGTATGGTTATATCACCAATGACGGCGTCGAAAATCTTCAATTGCGTTGCAGAGTTAAAACACAAGATCATTGTAAGGAACAAATAACTTTGCAATTAATGCCACAAAACATATCCATATAGTAATGCATGCAAATATATATAGAACAAATGGTGAACAAGGATTGATGTAGCCGACCCCAAAACTGTTGGGACAAGGCTTTAATGAGTTGAGTTGTATATATACATGGATATGTTATAAAGATAGACTTGTACAAAATGATTTACCAACAATATTCTTAACAAGAATTTCTATCCCCAATATTATATTTTAAGAACATATAATAAAAGATTTAATGCCATCTTTTAATGATCGGAAAGTAATTTACTACTAAATAAGTCCATCTATTTTAAATTTCTCAATATAAATCTTATAGACACTATTAAGATAAATTTGTTTTGCTTTGACTGACTAGTAATTTTAAAACAGGTAGATATAAATTGAAGTAGAATATTTGCTTGTTTTGTGTATAATATAATCACATATGTATTGAGAATACTTTAAGGAATGGTAGATACAATGAGATCATTCATGAGGTATATCTGCTTATATTTTGTATAATTTATAGGAATTTGGAATACTTTAAGGAATGATGTTAGAGATATATAGTTATTACCTTGTTAGCCACTTGATCAACCAGATCATTGTAGGTGCCGTTGTGGAGTATTAATTCATAAGGTAGGGGGTAACTTTGCTCCAAAATTTTTAGCACCTCATAGAATAGATCAATGCAGAAACCAGAAAATTTCCATTCATTCAAACCTGCATCCCAATCCACCTTCACGAATTTCTGATAATATGATGTGGCTGGAACTCCAATCTTCATAGGCTTTGCATTAGTAGGCATTGCCAATCCTTTTGGAACTCGCTTTAGGTCCCCTGGCCAATTCACCAAACCAGATAATACTTCCATGTCATTAGTGATATTTTCATGTCCACTTTCTTCAATAACAAACTCTTTGAGAAACCAAATGTCGATGACCAGAAGCCAAGCTCTTTGTATCTCTTTCCAACAATGTTTACAATTCTAAATAAAGAGGACCCTGCTAGCTCTCCAGCATGGAAACGAATGTCACCACTTAAACCAGTGAAGTTGCTTGATAGAATGCTTTTGAGTAACGTACTTGGACAATCACTGCTATTACCTATTCTCTTTATGGCATTTGTAATGGCAGTAATGCTATCATAGGCTCTAAGGGCATAAATACCCATCTCCGAGTTATCTTCCTCAGGGTAATCCAATTGAAAAACTCGCCGAAAATGTTGCTTAATATCTAGAAATGACCTACTGCCTTCAGCATAATATGTCTTGATTCCTAGAGCACCTTCCATGGAAGAGATAACAGAAGTATTAGCAGAATCCAGGAGGCTTGCGAATCGGTCGGTAATTATCCATGCTGAATCTCTCCCAATAAGCCTCATTTGTTTTGCTTCTCTAAACAAATGAACTATCATTGACGATGATAATTGGAGAACAATAAAAACCCTGGATTGCTTACTCAATAGGTCTGCAACTGCTTCAGTAACAAAGGCTTTTGGGTCATCTAGAGAGGAGAATGATGGAAGGACCAAACGATATTCAATTGTCACGCCAACATCTTGCAGTGAATCAGATAATGCAGCAAACATTCCATAATCGCTACCATAGTAGTCGACCTCATAGATTACTATGGCTCTTCGCCAATTGAATGAGCGAACCACATCTGTGATGCACCTAATTTGTTCAATGACGTTGCTAGCCATTTGTACCAAGAAAGGCCATCGCTGAGGAATGAGTGGTTGTATAATGGCGGCTGATGCAAATGAAATAATAGGCATTTGAGTTTTGCTTGCAATGTCAGCAACTAAAGTTGTTTCTTCCCATGTTTCCATGCCAATAAGGACTTTCACGTTCATTGCTTCCGTAAGTTCTTCAGCTGTACCAAAAATTCAAATTTAATCCATATTTCTACCACAGTTGTTTCCTATTTACATTTGCAGCATTAAAGACATGACAACATCAATAATTAATTTCTTATATGTTTATAGATTTATTTTGTGTGTGTGTACATTGATGTATTCATAGTAGGGTAAATTACATTCAAACCCTCTGAGATTTGTCACTAATACACCCACATCCCCTCATGTATGAAAAATAACATCGTCACCCTTGAGATTTGATATGTTGTAAGACAAAATCCCTTGACATTAAAGTCTGTTTGAATCACTATCCAATCTTAATTCCGTGATAATATTTTATCTTAAAATTCATAAAACTACCCCTTAATAACCATTACTAAATTACCGAGGCCCAAGAAAACCAAAATTTGTGCATTTCCTCAAATGCCCCATGAATTCTACTAATTTATTGGAAAATACCCCCTTCTTCAACGTGTTGCACAACACAACCCCTTCCCTCCCACATAACCATGGAATCATCCCTACCACACCCAGCCACCTCACTGCACCAACAACTACCAGTAAACATAAGCTACAACCTCAACCCATCAATCAAAACACAACATCAGCCCAGCAAATCAGCAGCAAAACATCACTATTATACACAACTAGCAATGAAATAAACATTCAAATTTCAAATCGATAATTGTTGCCTTTAATTTTAGTTCAATAAATTCGATTATCCAAACTCTTTATGTGTTTATAACAAGACAACAGAATCAAGAGATGATTCAAACGAGAATTTGAGTTGCTT